CAGGTTGTTGACTAGCTGTCTTCCTGGGTAACATAGTAGCTCTCTACTGGTCTCTTGATGCCGCCCTTACTTCTTCCTATTCCATCCTTCATTTTCCTTTCTTTCTTTCTTTCTTTCTTTCTTTCTTTCTTTCTTCCTTCCATTCTGTCCTCCATTTTCTTTCTTTCTTTCTTTTTTTTGGTTTTTCAGGACAGAGTTTCTCTGTGGCTTTGGAGGCTGTCCTGGAACTAGCTCTTGTAGACCAGGCTGGTCTTGAACTCACAGAGATCCACCTGCCTCTGCCTCCCGAGTGCTGGGATTAAAGGCGTGCGCCACCAACGCCAGCCCTGTCCTCCATTTTCTACACCCATTTTTCTAAGATGCTCTCCATTGCCCGCAGGATAAACCTCAGAGCCTTAACAGTCATCCACAATTCTTGAGACTAATGTCCCCACTTATCAAGCTTTTCTCCTGCCCTTTCAGCCATCATGCCGTGGTTCCCAGCTGTCACCTTATATCCTTGTCATTGTCATCGAATCTCAGTATGTAGCTACGGCTGGCCTGGAACTCACCATGTAGATCGGGCTGACCTCAAACTCACAAGAAGTCTGCCTGTGTCTGCCTCTGCCTCCCAAGTGCTGGGATTAAAGGTGTGCACCACCACTCCTGGCTAAATTTTTTTAAAGTAATAAACGTGATTTTAATGGATTTTTAGATTTAAAAAACTACCAAGGGACAATCAGTGATCATTTCCATTACAGCGGCATCTCCACGGTATCAGACAAATCAAGGCATCATTTCTAGTGACGTGTACAGCCGGCAATAAAGTCCACTCTTTCATATTCTATCTCTCTCCTTCAGCTCCAATTTTGTAGATGTTGTTGCTTTCCTTGGAAGTATCTTTCGGCCGATTACAGGAACCCCACACGGCCTTTCTTTGGAGATCCAGCATCCCTGGCTGCTCTCTGTCTGCAGCCCCTGTCACTTGTTTGAAGTGGATGTGGGTGAACAGTAGCTCATCTTCTGCAAGAGGGGGGGTGTCCAGGGGTTTAACCCCATCATCAGTTTTCTCACTCAGCCCGAGACATGCCATCCAGGTCCTCAGATTCCTGAGTCCCCAGAGGAAAGGACTGTCTGTAATGAAGTCTGTAATGAACGGTGGACAGCTTTCCTAATGTAGCTAACAGCTTCCTGCTCTTGCATGTTAAGTTTGGAATTCCCTGTTGTCTGCCGTTTAATTGCTGCCCACCCATCAAAATCCACCTTTCCCCGTGGTGCTTACAAGTTAGCACTGCGTTATCAGTAGGGTGGCTGGGGGCTTCTTGCTCTACCCAGATAGAAACTGTAGGTAGCAAAGAGCAGCTTGGCAAATGCTGGCCTTGGCAGCATTTCCATCTCCAGACCTGAGCAGTAGCAGCAGGCCAGGGAGAGTAGCAGCAAGTGGCAAGCTCACTGTTGGCTCCAGTGTAGGCCTTGGATAGCTTCACATTTGCTCTACAGCTCTGATGAAGCCAAGGGTACCAGGACCATCAATCAGCTCTACAGATGTTACAGCTCGGGGTTAGGACTAGGAAGTCTGGACTCCTTAGTCCCCGACATGTGGCCAGTGATGGAATTCTCAGGATCCAAAATCCTTGCCCCCAAATCCTGCCAGCTCTTTGGAGCTCTTTGGCCGCCACCAGGGCCTGAGGGTTCTATTCTGACTCTTTACAGCCATAGGCCCACCCGGCCTCTCTGCTCTCATCCTCTCTACCTCACCATCCCCTTGTTCCTGCCCCAGCCACATTTGGGAACTCTTCAGCTGGCCCTCCTCCACTGACCAAGCAGCCAGTCTCCTCAACACATTTGGCGAGCTTCTGACTTCATGCCACTTTCTTCCTGTCAGTCAGCACTGCTCAGGCTTAGGAGGTAAAGGCGCTTATGGCCAAGCCTAACAGAGTTCAGTCCCTGGGACCCACACACTCAAAGGAGAGAATAGGCTCTGTCAGGTTTGACTACGACCTTCACATGCATGCAGAAGCAAGCATGCTCTAGCACACGCACACACACACACACACACACACACACACACACACACACAATCTAAAAAAAAATTAAAAACAGGTGAATAAAAAAAAAATTGCGGCAAGCAAGAAGACTTTTATTTGGGCCTGACACTGCGAAAGCAGGGCAGGCATCACAGCAGGGTGTTTTCCTAGGCAACCAGCCAGAGGAGGACTGTGAATTGCAAATTCAGTATTGGCTGTTTAGACCTGGTCAAAGGTGTCTCTGCTGGGTCACTGGGGGAAGTGCTGCTACTCTGGCCTAAATGGGGCGATTTTAGGGCCGTTGAGAGACCACCAGGGCTTGGGATAGCAAAAAGTGCAGCAAAAACTGGAACGATGGGTCTGCCCCTTGCAGAAGCTGGGGCACTATGGAGATGGTTGTGTAGATTTCTCAAAGCATTGGTGGAGTGTTCTGAACAGCTGGAGTTGGCATAGACATGGCTCTGTTTAACTGCCAGTCCTTTTGCTGCAGACAATCAGGGCAGCAAGCCAATCAGGCGTAGCAGCCGCTAATTAGGGAGTCAAATTGCCCACACCCCAGCATCTTTATTTACAGGAAAATGAACAGGAAGAGTGATTACCACAAGCACAGTGATTTTTAAACATTTTAAAATGTGTATCTGCGTGAGTATATGCCATGTGTACACAAGTGTTTGCAGAGGTCAGAAAAAGGTGTCGGATCCCCCCCGGAGCCGCCGCTATGGGCGGTTGTTAGTGTGTGATGTGGGTACTGGGAACCAAACCCAGGTCCTTTGGAAGAGCAGCCAGTGCTCTTAACAGCTGAGCCATCACATTTTAAGTAATGGTTACCACCTGCCCAGAGCCCCAGGGAGGGAGGGCCTCATGTGTTCTACAAACAAGCCTCATTAACAAGCTGTGCCCTCTTTATCTTTGTATGAGTATCCAGCACGTAGTTTGAGCTTAGTATTTGTCAGTTTGAGTTTAGATACACTACACCCATTTTTACAATGCCTAAGCGGCATCCAGGCAGAGAAACAAACTCAGGGAAGTGGCTGTGAGTGGCCAAAAGGTGGCAGCCGCGGTTCTGAATTATGTTAACCTGGGGTGGTGAAGCACCTAGATGGGACTCAAGAGAGGTCCCCAAAGCAGAACAGCTAGAAGCCATGCAGGGTGATAGGTTTGCGTCTGGCCCATGTTCACTACTCAAGAAATAGCGAATGAAAATCAGGACTTTAAATGTGTTTGACATTGGAGGCTCTTGGATGTTTCTGATCCCTAAAAAAAGGAATGCCCAAAGGCAATGAACACAGTCTCTCTTATTTACTCATAACTCTTGTTTGGTTTGTTTTTTTCAAGGCAGTGTAGCCCAGGCTGGCCAGAAACTTGGTATGCATACAGAGCTGGTCTCTATGGGAATCCCGCAGAGACGGTGGGCGTGTTCCTCGCAGCTTTTTTTTTTTTTCTTTTTCTGTTCACAGATGTATATTTGTTCGTTGTAGAAACAAGGACGAAAATATAAAAGAACTATTTTTAAAAACCAAGCATGGGTGGGTGGCACATAGGATCAGGAGTTCAAGTCCAGCCTGGACTACTCTTGATAACTGTCTCAAAACAAACGCAAAAAAATAAAAAAATAAAGGGTGGGGGGCACCCCTCTAATCCTGGCACTTGGGAGATGAAGGCAGGAGGATAGGAAGTTCCAGGGCAGCCTTGGCTACCTAG